GCGGCACACAGAAAACGATTACTTTAAATCAGAGTGCAGCCGGTACTACCAGCCGATGAGGCCAATCAAACAGCGCTGAAAGTGCAACGTAAGAGTGGTGTTGGCCGTCTTTTTTTTTTTTTTTTTTTTTTTTTTTGTGCTCATCTCGGCTCATGCAATCAAGAGCAGAAAGTGCGGCTTGACTTTGTGCTTTCAGTTCGTGTGTATGCGTTGCGTCCCTTCTAGGCAGGATACAATTGTTACTTTTTCTAGGCATTGGACCTCTTGCAGAAATATCGGTTCGGGAGTAAATGGACCTGGTACGCTCTCTCTCCCTCCCTCTCTCTTTTCTGGCCGTGCAGAGATGCAAGATTTCTTTTTACATCAACTTCCGGGCTGAAGATAACCCACGATATGGGACATAGGCGAAGTTTGGGGGGGGGGGGGGGGGGGGGGGGGGGGAGCCGTATCAAGCTCACAGCCGCTCAAGATGACGCAGGGATGACGCAGCAGCAAGATGACGCAGGAGGATGTAGCTGACGATTTGGGGTGTCGGAACAGCCTCGGACCCAGTCGCGTGTCTGTCCTCCATCGCGAAAGTTTAGGCCGACGATCCGCTGCGCGGGACGGAAAAAGGGGGGAGGGGCTGCCGTGGTTAGGCCTAAGGTTCGGCCCGCGGAGTTCGGACCATGGCGCCCAAGGCGGCTCGTGTGTCGTGGCGGGACCGTACCCGTCACGTTCTTCTCGTCCTTCTTGCTTCGTGGCGTCGGTCGGTGAAGAGGACCGCGTCACGGCGCGGCACCTCCATGTCTTCCACCTCGCCTCCCAGGTTGTTTTCTCCATATTTTTTTTTTTTTTTTTTTTAAGATGTGTTTATTTGGATTTTTTGTTTGGTGTGCCCATGTCTGTTTTGCAAATGCAGGGTGTGCGCTGGTTCTTTGCCTACTTGCGTTACTGCCCCTTTCGGTATTAATGGAGCGCGCATAGGGCGATGGTTCTCTTGCGCTCTTACTTCACGCTCTATGATGCCTTTCGGTGTCCTGCTAAAGCTTGTGATTCTACGGAGTTGGGCACAGTTTCCATTAACACCGGATCGCTTTTATTTTTTTATCCTTTTGTACTAAACCCTTTCTAGTGCAGCTGGCAAGGTCGCGCTGGAATCGAGGCCTTCGAAAGAAGTTCTTTCGTTCCTGAAGAATTAAAGGCGGATTTGAGAGTATTTTTATTCCGTGAATCCGAATGACGTTCGTTGTCCCCGAAGTTGTAACTAAACGCGAAAAAATTTCCCGAGCAGTCGTTACACCGTATACCCAGATCTTTCGGCCGCCGAGCGCGTGTCGACGGTCGTGTGGGCGGCGCGTGCAATAGACCTCTTGCCGAATTACCCAAGTATCAAGCAGACGATTTTGTGCAACCTCCGTGCACAAAATTGAAAAATAATCTCGATATTTGCGACGATCGTGGAGGCCCAATGAAGACTATTAAATATATAGAACCGTATTAGTCTCTCCAAGTCCTGACGCAGCCAAGGTTACGAGCTGAGCAGCGTCAAAAATGTTTAGGATCATCGCTTCGGCGATGATCGAACTCCCCGATGGAGCGCTCTTAACGCCGTCTGATTGATCCGATCAACTTATATCGTTGGGTGCGTCTGGACTTGGGTGAAACAAAGTGTATAAACACGCAACTTGCATTCTAAAACCTGTTTTGGGTTCACTTTTTTTTTTTTTTTTTTTGGGGGGGGGGGGGGGGTACGTTACTTGATGGCGAATTCGCGCAAATTGCATCCACGCACGTCGCAGAAACGGCTATACGCGACAGAACCTGACCCGCGCATATATATACGTCCCTGGTTCTCGTGCGCGTTGAAGAAAAATAAGCGCGGGGGTAAATGATTGATCGACTTGTATGTTGCGCGCATGTGGCACGCGTGTTTTTATGTGTACGTCGCGAGCAAACTGGGTATATGCTCGCGAAGGTGTGGTGCATTGGGAGAGAATCGTGCTGTGCGGCACTGTATTTTTGGATTTCGAAAGAAGGGATACGTGCGGAAATTCGTATTGCGAAATTCAGTTTACCCGTTCTAGTATTCCTAAAAAAAAAAAAAAGGGTAACGTATAAATAGGTTTGTGGGGGGGGGGGGGGGGGGGGGGGTGCTTCGAATCCGTGCAATCTGTCGAAGGCTTATTGCGAATGTGGAGAAGGCGGCGGTGTGTAACACAATTTCAACTGCACGTAAAAAAAAAAAAAAAAAAAAAAAAAACGATTAATTTTTGGTTATTTGCTGGGGGCGTGCCAGATGTCTTTCGTCAATTTGACAAATAAAACAACCCAATTCAACTTGAATCATAAAAAAAAAAGTTTTTTTTTTGCTAATGATTGCCGAGAACTTCCCATCAAACCTTCGCATTATGTAGAAAAAAAAAAAAAAAAAACACTTTTTCTTTAGTCCATGCCAACAATGACTATCCTCTGCATACTCAGCTTGGGTAACTGACAGGAACTCCCGGGGCGTCTCTGCCGAGTGCTGCCCCGTAAACTGCACTGGAGTACGCAAAAGATAGAACACACGATCGAAAGATGGGCGTTGTTCGGATGACGGCGTGTTTGTTTACAAAGGCCGCGATATCGGGGCGAACAGGCCAAGTGTCCGGTCGCCATTGCGCGCGACCCTATGACCGTTACAACATATCGCGGAAACGGCGACTTCGTGCAAGGCGTGCGTTGCGTGAAATAGCGCGGATATCGGTTTTGGGTGGATGTTTTTTTTTGTTTCCTCCTTTGTGGATTGGCGGTTGTCTCTACCGGACTCGTATACATATGCATCGGACGCACGTATGTTCTATTGTTCTAGAACGGCGAATCGGCGGACATGTTGTATATTGCCGCATCGGAACGACATTCGCGAGCTGGTTCTGGTTCCTCAGATTTATTTCGCAAAGGCCGTATGCATCGTATTCGAGGGTACCGGCGTAGCAGGCCGAGTTTGGGCTTACTTCCGGTTGCTGGCTTTTGTCACACTTCCCTTAGACACTGCTGGGTGGGTTCGTGTTGTGGGTCCGACACTAAGGAAGGAACAAAGGCTGTCTGTCCTTCTTTGTTTTGTTTGTTCTCTCTCTCTTTCAGCTGTCTGTCCTTGTCTAACGAATAGCGTTGCAAGATATGGGAAAACTCTTTTAGTGCCCCCTTGCGGGGCTTATCGAAAGAGTGTGGTTGTAGTTTAGTATACGGCCAATTTCAGGGCCCTCAAATGTCGCCATTTTTAAGTGGCGAGAAAGGGACCGTCTATTTTGACGTAAATTTTTTAAGCCATCGCCAAAGATCGTCATATTTTCACACTTTAACTGACGCAACACGTTTTTTCAATTTTTGTTTCACGCACGCAAACAACTGATCGATTAAACCATTACTTTCAGGCCGTCAACTAACCAACCCAACAGTGCAAAAATACGAAATATTCTAAAAGAAGATAGTTTATAAATTATATTTTCAATTTCCTTTCCATTTCGTCAAAAACGTTTGACGTCCCTGATTGGAACACTAACCGCGAGTGAAGATTTTGTTGGTTTCGACGTTCGTCACGCGTTCGGCGACGTACCGTGTCGTTTCTTTTTCTACGCACGTATAATTTTGGCGTCGTCGACTCGCTTCGTGCGGAGAACGACCTGCCCCTGACGCGCAGGCGTCGGGAATTCGCATAATTACGCCGGGCCACGAAATATATCCCCGTGTGACAGCTCTCCCGATTTCATTTGCTCTGCCGGAGACCTATTCTCGAAGCTGGCATTTCAACTTGCGCGCCGCTGCCTGCGTGTTCGCGTTTTATTTGAAAGTAGCCGAGAGCCGTTCATATATTCGTTGGCGGTTCGATATTAAGTCCCCTTTCCCGTCGTGTCCCCCCCTTTCTTTTTGTTACTTTTTACGCGTACTTTTGAAAGTTTCGTCGACACTTCGCAAACACGAATGGCAGCCGTCGCCCATAGACCGTTTCGAAAAGGGACTTCTGGCCGGTGCAGTTTTCAGCGTGTGCTCGCTTTTCGAAGCGACGAACATGCACGTGCTGGGCTGTGATCATTGCACGCTGGGCTGTGCTTTTGTAAACATTGGCGGGGTGTATACACTCGATCTTTAGAAGTTTACAAATCCACGGCCTGTAGCGAGCGATTTTGCGCGTCCTCATTCGTCAGTCACTAGCGCACGTTTTTGTTTTTGTTGTGCATAAATAACGTATCATAAAAAAGGGGGACAGTAGAGTCATGCTCCAACTTCGTCGTTTGGCAGAGTTGGAAACCGACGTTGTCTGAGGTTGTTTCTTTCTCTGCCTTCCATTTTTCGAGCTTTACTTTTCCTCATCCCAGGTTGTTTTACCACCTGGGGAACTTCTATCAGCTCGCTCGCACTCCATCTGTTTAAACACCCCGGTTTAAACAGTTGGGGGGCTACTACGCTGTTAAATGTTCTGCATTTTTTTTTTTTTTTTTGAATTGTTGCAGCGGCGTGCAATTCGATCCCCCTATCTTTTAATATACAATTTCGCCGCGGGGCGGCGAAAGTTTTTGCTGCAAACTTGGGATAGGCGGTACCTCTCCGTTTCTCTCGTTCACGTCCTTCTCCGTTGGGTGGCGTCGCCTCCCTAAAGTTGCGAATACGAAACTTTCTAAAAACGCGCCTCAGGCCCGCGCGCTGGCTTTTCCAAACAGCGAATATGCACGTGCTGAACTGTATAGATCACACTCTGGACTTGGAAATGGTGCATATTGGAACGTTATGTTTCAAATGAAATGTTTTGTACACAGACACACACGCACAACTCACTCAAACAGTGGCATACAGATATATTCAGACAGACATAGACACACTGAGACAGGCAGGCACATAGAGACAATAGATATATTCAGAGAGACATAAGACAGATAGACACACTGAGACAGACATGCACATAGAGACACAGACAGACAGGGCTGCTGGTGGTTATTGCGGTCTGCATTGTTGCTGACTGCGTCGTTGTCTCTGCCTTCCAGCAACCGGACGCAGTCGGTGGACTGCCACGGCTACGTGAACCCCCTGGAACTCGTGCTGGACCCGAAGAAAGGCGGCGACGCGCGGGGTCCCCGCCTTTCGGCCGCCGTCCCGGGAGTCGTGCCTCCTCTGGGCCACGGCGGGCCCTCGGCCCCCGGTCGGACCCAGGGGGGACCCCGTACGGCGGCGGCCAAGTCCCCCACCGTCCCGGTCGTCGCGACGGGGCCCGAACTCCAGCAGCTGCACCAGCTTCAGCAGTCGCAGCAGGCGTCCAAGAAGCCGCTCAGTAGGACGCCCACGCATCCGCCGCCAGGGGCGCTGGAGTATGTGGTGAGTGAAACAAAATGGCTAGGTGGTGTAAGCTACCGCCCGATCCAAAGGGCTCAACCGGATTCATTCATCCATCCATCCATCCAGTGACGTTGCGAATACAAAATGAAGAAAGCGGGCTAGCAAACCTAGCCCTAAATATATGGGCGATAGCAGCGAGGCGGATGAGAAGATGAAGGTTAAAGGAGAGAGTTAAGGAAGCTGAGGGAAGTGGTGGGAAGCAGACATGCAGACTATATCGGCCTTGGGAATTTACAGATTGTGTAAGAAGGACATTATTGAGAGGCCCATCTTCGACAATTGTTGTTCGAGGCGAGGACGGGAGTATCGCGGACTAATGACGAATTCCAGTGGTCGTTCTGGAGCGCGCCGGGGTCAGTAGACCAGATCCGAGATGGAGCATGCGACCCGAACGAAGTTGCTCCGTCTCCGGATCCCCATTGGAGCATGACCACCCCTCCGGGATCGGCGGGATGCCTTCCCGTCATTCACTTTCCCGGGAATCCCTTTCCCGCGGTCCCTAATCCCGAAGCACATGTTTTCGCAATCGCGGCGCTAACAACACATGTTCTCAACGCACGAGCGAAGTTATTATGACGTCAAAGATACGTGTCGATGAGCATTGTGTATCAGCGTAGCCCACTTGCCTCTTCATCGAAACACTCGTGAGCTGTGTCCAAATATGAAGTAGACACGTTGTGTGGAGCTTATGGAGGAGGACGAGGAGGGTGTCGCACACCACAGGAATCAGCGCGCTAAATCAAAAATTATTTCACCGTCTTTTTTTTTTTTTAATTTGGCTTTTTGATGTCTGTCATGTAGTCTGTCGAGTGCATTGACCTGCTGCCGTGACCAGGAGGGGCGGGGTAAAGTTCGAAACCTGACCCTTGCGCGCAGCTGCTCCCGTGGAAACAAAATATTGCGAAGGTGTGTTTCACCCACAGTGCTTTGAACGTTGGTAGCAGTCATGGGTAAGTTACTTTTAAAAAGTAATTCGTTACAGTTACAGTTACTTTCAGAAAAAAGTAGCGAAGTTACCGTTACAGTTACCGCAACAAAAGAGTAACTCGTTACAGTTACTTTTAAAAAGTAACGACGTTACTTTTCAGTTACTTTTCTATAACACAAAACAAAATTTTAGAAAAAAACTAGAAAACGCCCCTCACAACGTTTTATTGCATAAAATTAAAAAAAAAAAAAAGTACGCTTTTTACTTCATATTGTAACTTAGCAGCAGTTGCTTCTCCAAGTTAGTGCTTGAAAGTTTCCACGCCAGAGTAGTGGCGCAAATCAAAATACGAAACATGCGCAGTGCGGAGTAGTGGCGCTAATCAAAATACGAGACATGCGCAGTGCCCTTCACGTGTATTATTGTTTTACGGTTGATTCACCCTATTAAAAAGCGTTTGCACAGAAAAAAGAAAAAACACAGCAAAGGTAGTGCTTCAAGACACTAACCGCCGAATTCCAGAAACCTCACTCGAACTCTACTCAAACTGAAGGGCCCCTCCACTTCCTCGAGGAAGGCGCCAGGGCCGGCGCTGGCCAATCGCGAGGACGGATCCGCCGTCGCGATTGGCCAGCGCCGGCCCTGGCGCCTTCCTCGAGGAAGTGGAGGGGCCCTTCAGTTTGAGTAGAGTTCGAGTGAGGTTTCTGAATACGGCGGTAAGATGGTAGTGTTTAGGCACGAAGTACAAGCGCGTGCGTAAAGATAACTAGATATTTTTTCATAAAATCTACACGTGGCTATATTCGGTTCGTGACTCGCGAGAGAGAACGCAACATTGTGCAAGGCCAACTTGAAACTCGAAATTTCGGAATAGACGATTTGGAAAGTGCAAGGGATGGCTAAATTGCACCCTCGTTCAGTGATATATTATTCATAAAACACTGCAAAGTAACGACAAAAGTAACGTCGTTACTTTTATCGTTACTTCAGAAAAAAGTAATAGAACTACAGTTACAAGTTACATTTTTAAAAAGTAACTCGTTACAATTACAAGTTACCAAAAAAGTAACGAAGTTACAGTAACGCGTTACTAGTAACGCGTTACTACACAAGACTGGTTGGTAGTGATATGTGCGGCTGAATTTGGGCCAGACTGCCGTCCGTACAAACGTACCGAATATGCTTGACTCGGCGTGATAATACCTTGATCTGTAGATGGTACATATTTTGTGAGGATCTGTATTTAGTCGAGAAAAATAAATGAATCTACTATACTCTCTGGCACCTAACAGAATTAAAGAAAATGTTTTGCGCACAGTTTATACGCATTGCGAAGTACCTCTTACAAGTTTTGATTGTCAAAAAAAAAAAAAAAAAAAGAAAGTAGTGTTTCCTTTTTTAAGCGTTTGTAATACTATTCGATAAATCTCAAATAACAGGCACATATAAATATCTTAATTCTGGGCACAAAGGCAGAAATTAATGTCGATCTGCAACGAAGCTATTTTTTTTAAATACGATTTGTGAGGTGAACGCGAGTATAGAGAAATGATAACGTATGCAGATAAAGTAGTTCTTTACAATTTCTTCCCCTCTCCACCCCTCGTTCAAAAAGAAAAAAAGAATGAAGAAACAGCGTTAGGCAACAGGCGAGTCCCGACATATCCAACAAAGAAAATGTGATGGTTTCCCCGAATTCATCCGTGAATAGCCGCGATCGATTTTTTTTTAACGCGTTTTGCCTTGAATTTTGAAATAAACAAAGAACGCTCCATAAAAACGACCGTTCCTAGGCATAAAAGGGTAAACATTCGTCATCTAAAGTGGGATTTTTTTTCCCCCTTTTTGTTTAATTATGCACATGCTTCAGACACTGGCGCTTCCTGGAAATATGTTCTATACGAGCCGGGTGTGCCTTTGTGGATGCGGCATTACGCATATAAGGAATGACCGCTCTAACGTTAAACCGTGTAAAAAAAAAAACACCACAACACAGAGAAATGTAAAAAACATATACGGACCGTTCAAGCAAGCTGCGCGCTATCTCGCCCAAACGTCTGCCTATAGCCTAACGCTGTGTATTCGGATAAAACCGAAAAAAGTTCAAGGAATGTATATATATATATATCTCTTGTGCTCGTGATTTGTTCCGCGATAAGATACCCGACTGCGAATGCAAAGAACTAGAGAGAATCAAAGTTGCCAGTGGGTGCTTTCGGCGACTGCCCTCTTGCGCGGAGATCTGATGCGGACGTAAAGTCTGCGAATTTCGATTAAGTGTTCGGTGAATTGGCAGCCGTCCTGCTCCACTCCCGCGTGTTTCCCGAACGGTCGTTTTTCTTTTTTGCTTCATCTGCCCTTTGCTTCGAGATCTTGGTCGGCTTGTATAGACGCTTTACACACGCGCCAAATTACAGCCGCCATTGCTGACCTTCTTTTGTCTTACCGAGATGCCGAGCAACTGAAACGGTAGTTGACAATCCTCTACAGAGGCCGATGCTTTAGAAAAGGACACAGTTGATTCTAATGTGGCAATAAAGTGGCCTGTTATGGTAATCATGAAGTGAAATAAACGAAATAAGAGGAAACAAAAACTGAAGGTCAGTTATGGCGGCGTCCATGCACAGCTGCTGCAAAGCGTCTATAGAAACAGCGTCTCAGCTGAGACTGGGGAAAAAAAATGAAAGCCGTTTACAACACCCTGCAATGCCGAATTGGAGCGCAGCTCTTGAGGAGGAGGGAAGGGTACTGAGGAGAGGGTATACCGCGCCGCCAGCCAAAGCACTAGTGCGTTCTAGAGAGCGCGCGCAGGCATCCGAAAAACGACGCATAAACGGACATAATGGATCGTTTACCGTTTGTCTGCCATATAGGGCTATCGTAATCGGAGTGCAAACAAACTCTACGAAGTAAACTTCCCATTGTTATGGCGGCGTACCTTCAGGCGTCAGACTTCCTGATAAACAGATACGAAACAACAAAAACAAAAAGGGGAAAGGAGAACTCAGTTTTGCGTGATTATGATCTGACCTCATCACAGTCGTTTGGCGCGTTGCATGTCCACACCAAGCGCTTGTGTTGAATCAACTCTACCACTATACTTTACCGCCTCATCCTCAGTGCTAGATCAGTGTACGTTGCAGCCCCGTTGATTTATCCGATGCCTCTTGCAGAACTTTGGGTGGCATGTTCCAGCTGTTTTGTGCGCGGAGAAACTGCGGGAGAGGATGAGGGTGGGGGGGGGGGGGGGGAGGGAAGGGAAGGGGGGGGGGGGGGGGACGTCGGAACGACTAGTGGGCAGCCCTAAAGCTAGCTACCTTTATAATGTACGCTAGATGTTCAACTGGCGCTAATGTGCTGTCGCGAATCGAAGCAGAGAGCAACCAGTCGAAAATTGACTTCCGGTAATGCAATCCGAGGGAAAAAAAAAGTGAGGGAATTTTCTCCCTGCGCTCGATCATAAGAGCAAACATCCAAAACAATTCGTCCGTACTAGGTAGCTTGGTACATTTCTCAGTCAGGCAGACGAAACAATTAATCGGCTACGGCGTTTTCCTTTCAAATTCGTGGCATTAAAAACTGCGCTAAAACGGCTTCGTACATGTATTTGCGTGCACTGTCGGACACTGTTAGCGCGAACACGACGTCGGCGCCTTCCAGCATAAGGGATATACGTGGCAAATGAACGAAGGACATGTGGAAAACCAAGGGAGACGGCAAGAACTGCGCATTAGCGCTGGATCAGTAACTCCTTGCGCGTGCTGATCAAAATAAATTGAAGGCCACGTAAATATAGTTCGATTTTCAAGAAGTTCCGCTTTATTCTGCAGCGTACCAACTTGGTGTTGAGTGGGGGGGGGGGGTTAGCTTTACGAGGGGGGGGGGGCAGAAAGAATAAAGCCCATGGCTTTATTCTTTCTGCTTTGTGCAGAGATGCTTGTTATACGTTCAAAACATCACCCGCACGTTCGATATCTTCGGTTCAACATGTGCCAGCTGCCGGCATAGAAAATAATAAAAAAGAGGCACCTTTCATAGCCCACGTACGTAC